AATTTTAAGAGCGAGAGGAAGGAGAAATTTAGCTTTTTTTTTTTTTTTTTTTTAAATAGTAATCACTGAACTGATAATAAGATTTACAAAAAAAGATTACTAATATTCCCTTATTCAGTTTTTAGAAAGTTACATTAATTATTATAAATGATTAACACTGTTTTCTACTTTGCAGTTAAGTAATTTTGAATGCCTTAATTCAAAACTCAAATTTATGACAGAAAGCACAGGGTCAACCCATCCAAACAAGTTATAGTACTAGTTCAGACTTCCCCTATAATTCATCAATAAGTTTCTTTCCCAGTGCACCAAATATATTGATCTCTAAGTCTATTAGAATCTAGGTCACAGAACATTGTGCATTTAGACTTGTGTTCTCAACAAAGTTATGACATAAAATGCATAAATGTTTTTCTAAATCTTTCTGTATTGAAGATGGTAAGGTTATCACCAAATGAAATAAAGTTCTAAAGCTTCATCCAGAAGGAAAAACATTACTATCATTTGCAATTCAATTCTAACTGTACTTGGTTCAAAAAATTCTCATTGCCACATTTAGCAAAGAAAGTTTTCTTCTTGCTATTTGACTTATTACAAAAATTAAATTAATTTTATGTTTTATTAGCTCACCCCTTCTTTGGGTGTAGCTCAACCTATTATTACACAACCCAAACAGCCAGTTGATCAAGAGAGTTTTGAAGCGTGGACATTGCAAAATAACTTCTTTACAGATCATGTTAGATAAGTGGGGAAAATCCTCAACACTGACTTCATTTGAACCATGAGAATCTATACCACAACTGAAGATCTGTCCATGATCTTGACCCAGGGAGAGCTACCAAAAGCTCCATGAACATGCTACAAATCAACAGAAATGCTTCCTTTCAGTTCTCAAAACAAATTGTTTCCTAATGCTTAAGAGGAGAATTTCTCTATAAAAACTTTTCATTTTTAATGTGGTAAAGTCCCACTTCCCTCACACTGCTCCAATTATCTTTGTAGGCCTAAGAATTCTGGAATAATAGGAGTTAATTTACTATTTCCAAATACTAGAGCTTTTCCACTAGTATAATTAGGTCCCCTACCAAAAATGGTCAAATTTTTTAAACGTTACACTCTTAAGAGGAGAACGGTCCCAGGGCTGCACAGTCCCCAGCCAGTGGGCCACATATGGCCTATGGGGCTGCTATGGATCTGGAAATTTGGTGAGAGGTAGGGGGACACCAGTGGAAATTAATACTACCCTCAATCCCTCCACTGCCAAAGTTCTAAGTCCAGGAGACCAGATGACATGGCCCTGCATATGGGATCCCACCAGTGAACAGGGGACCAGGTGGTGGACCCAAATCTGGTTTCAGGGATGAGGCAGTGTACCCAATATGGCTTGTGAGACCAGGGTCCAATCTAGAATGCGTGGGATCAGGCCTTGGCCTTGTGTACCCTGGACCTGGCTCACAGGCCCACCCTGTACCACTCATCCAGCCTGTTAAGCCAAAAGTTTGGGCTCCTCCACTGATTTAGACTATAATGTTTCTTCCAAGAAAAAGCCTTTTGTCTTGGGATCTTAGATATACAATCCACTGTCCCACTTCAAGTATCTGTGATGTATGTAGGATAAAGCCTACTAATGGTTTTTCCCAGGTCACTGTGGTATATGTCTGTAAGATTTGTACAACCCATTCCAGGAAAGAGCCTTTCAGGCTGCATGCTCTTCCTGGCTACCTGCTGGCAGAGGAGCAGCTTGGAAGGTCTACATGTGCAAATTGCTATAACACTCCTATTTGGATGCAGGTTGAAACCATGGAGAGTCAGGGCCGCCTCAAATAAGGTATCTGTTTGCAGCCCAAGAGCATTTGTGCACTCTTACTTGAGTACACATCACAGCATAAATTGGGCACTGACATCTAAACCAAATAAAGAAACGATACAGAAAAAATAATCCTAAAAGTAATAATAAAAGACAAGTTCCTTTATACATTTATTTTCTTTATAAAATGTCAAATCTCCCATACTATGCCGTTATCAACTGCCTCACACAGAGGGCATATTTCTATTTGCCACTGTGAAGAACAAAACAGAATGGATATGGTCTGTTTTAATAAAAGCTTTGTAAGTAAAATATAATGTCTATTTCAATGGATATTTTACAAATGCAGAAATGCAATTAAAATACAAAGGTTCAGCACACAAACTAAAAGAGATCCAGTTAAGTTACCATCAGTCTTAAATATTACTTGATATTACATCAAAAAAGAAACTGGTCTCATGTAAACCTAAGAAAACTTACCTTACAGCCAAGCATTTCTGCGATGGAGTCAGTTCTTCTTCCTTTCGAAACATTCCTGAAGGGGAAGAGGAGAATAAGCAAACATACATTACCTAGTCATTTCTTTGCCAGGGTCAATGGATATCCTTGATAATTCTCCAATTCCCAAAATTTCTCCCTTTTACCTGCCCCATTTTTTAAAGGGCCTGCTGTCAAGGAGGTGCTCCTAGTAGAACTGGGTCAGATGTAATCTCTACTAAAAACAAACATTTTCAGTCAGGAAGTCTGTTAGTAAAAGGTGTGAAGTGCAGCCATCGCCAGCTGCGTCTCTGCAGCACACCCAGATAACAAGGTTTGGAAGAAGAGGGTGGGGGATTGGGGGGTGGGGGTGAGGTAGCATTCATAATATTGCTGCCCTTGCTTCTGTCAAAATTAAAAGTTTTGAAGATTTTTAACTCTCCTACTCTCAAACCTTTCTAACCTTTAGGAAGTCAAACCTAAATACTAATCATCATCTAGTAATATCTTATGAAATCATCACAACCCCCAGGGCTGCTACTCAGTCTGCGTACAAATATTCAAATAACATGGAAGCATTCTCCCAGGTTTGTTGTTATGGCACAAACTTACCTAGAGCCATGCACACATACATTTGCATACTGAGGCCCTCCAAAATACAGAGCTTGCAGTGCTGACGCTGTGCAGTCAGGGAGGAAGTGAGGGGGAGAGGGAGGAGGTGGGAGGTCTAGGAACACATCTCAGTCGGCATGCCTACACAAGATGCTTTACTGCTCAATAGACTAATCTACTGCATAGTAAAGAATCACTATTTAAGGTGGGGGTAGTTTTACTGTGCATTGCAGATAGTAGATTTACTGTGCATTAGCTAATACTCAGTAGTGCATGTATAAATGCCAACCAGGAGTAGATTTGTTCCCTGTCAGCCAAAACAGCAGGGGGGCAGCTTCCTGCCAGAGGCAGCGCAACATGACTGGGAGTCTCTCCAGTCACAGGGCAGAGACAGCTCTTTAGCAGTCCCTGGCTAGTCGTTGGACCCCTGGCTTGACCCCTGGGACCTAGGCCAGCTGATGCTGCCCCTGGCCACTGTGTGCTGGTGGAGTGGACACATGCTGGTTGCAGCAGTGCTGCAGAGCCCCAGCCTGACCCCTAGGCTTCTCCTGGCTGCTCCCTGGCCTGTGGGCACCATGCCCTGGCTCTGAGGGCATGTGATGGCTCCAGCAGTCCCACAGGCCATTGTGCTGGGGAACTGTGCCTTCTGGAACAAGCTTTGACTGAGAAGAAGCACCCTGCCGCCTCAAGAGGATGCTGGAGGTGCAGAAGAAGCAGGCTGCTGTAGTATCGCAGGCAGCAGAGGCCACGCAGGCAGAGCACCAGGTGCTGGACACCATCCTGACCCTGGCAGTCACCTTCATGCCATCCACCGTCAAGCTCCTAGCTCTGGCCCCATCTGCCATCTGCAAACCACCCACCACCAGCCCTTGCCCTGGCTGTGGCCCTTCCTGCTGCCTGGCAGCCACCTGTGGCCTTGTGCCAATGCCCCCAGTGGGCCTAGCAGAAGATCCAGCCACGCCTGCAGTGGCCAGGGCCCTCTGCCCCTGCTCCTGAGCCAGGTCACCCAGCAGCTAGACTGCCTGCCTGGGCTGCTACCCATGGGTGACCTGTCTGCCATGTGGCCCCTGAGCAGGGAGATGGCACTCGCTGGATCCAGCCTCATGAAGAAGAAGGAGGTGAAGCACGCTAGACAGTGCCTGCCCTCACCCTTGGCCAAGCCCCTGGGCTGCCAGCCTTGCCATGGTGTCTGCACCTGGGTGGTGTCACCAGAGACCAAGGTGCTCAGCACTTCTACCCGGGCTCTGCACCATAGATGCCTCCATCCCAAAGATTCCACCCTGACACTACATCAGCCATACACTTGTAAACATCTACATGGGGAAGAAGGTGTTTTATTGGTGGTGGGTGTTGCAGGTGGCGGGGGGTGAGACTCTTGCTGGGGAGGGAGAGCAGGAAGGAATGTGTTGTTGGGGAAGAAAATAAAGGTTGTTGACTGGAAATTGTCCAGAGCACGTGTGGTCTTGGGGGGGCTGGAGGGCCTGGGGTTTGCGGGCAGCCACCCAGCTTCCCTATTGTGGTGGATGGGGGAGGAGGTGGTCCACGAGTGCCTTGCAGACATAGTACCCTGTCTGCTGCTACTGGGGTGGTGGGGAGGGTGGGAAGTACCCATGGTGCACTCGCCACAGGCTCCTAGGACAGCATCCCTGGCCAGACTGCATCCACCCACCCCTCCCACCCCAGAGACCCCTGACAGCCTGAGCACACATTTAAATGCCCATAAGAAGCAAATCTGCTCCCAACAGGGTGCACATGTAGACAACTTCCTAGGGCTGGCTTACTGCACTGTAAATTACTGCACAGTAAGTCTAAATAGCTTTAATTGCACATGTAGATGCACACAGTATGTTCTGAAAGCTTCCTTAGTCTGCCTGGAACAGTGCATAGGGCAGCCCTGATTGGCTAACCCAGACTGCCCATGGTCAGGTGGTGTCAGCATAGACAAACATTCACCCTCCCAGGAGAAACTCTCCTGGCAGTGATTTAACCCTAGTTGCTCCCAGATTATTTTTCTCCTGCAGCGGCCAATTTTACTTTGGGAGAAAAAGCCTGAACATCTGTACACTCATGATTCCTCTTGGAAGAGCAACAACTGTTCAACAGAAGCCACTGTTGGTCATTTGATGATTCTAATTATCTGAAACCAGATATGAAGTGAAATAATGAAAATAATAAATGTGCTACAATAAGGACCATTGCTTTTGAGGGAGAGAGAAGAAGCATGTTAAACAAGGCCTCAAGGGTATTTTTATGAGCAGAGATCTAATCATAGCCTATATCAGGGCTGTCTGACCTCTGAGTGATGGTATGGGGGGCACAAGCTGCACAACCAGCCTCCCTTCCCCCAAGCCACATGTTGCATGGGCAACACACCACACCACAATGTGCTATGCCATGCTGCATGAGCATCCCCCATCATGACATGCTAGACACTCCCCTGTTGCACTGTACCAGCACCCTCACACGGTGTGGAGTTCTCAGGTCTCCCCAAAGTCTCCCCCGCCACAAGCTCCCTGCAGGCACTGCAGGCCATGCTGTTTCACCTTGCTCCTGGGGAGATGTGCGAGGGAAGAGCGGGGAGAGTAAGCAGAAGCTGGAGGATGGAGGGAGAGACACCAGCAACAGCAGCAGGAGAGTAATGAGGGGAGCAGTACCCCCTTAAAGCCTGGGTGCCACAAGTTAACACTTAGGAGGCTGCATGTTGCCCAAATAGACCATTAGTTGGACAGCTCTGGCCTAGGAGACTGAAAGTAGAATACACCTGATTTCCCAGATTAAACTGACAGCTGTTCCTGAGCTTTTCTGAACAGTCCAAAATCTTCACACTCTGTCCTAATGTCCCTAAAGAGTTCCTGAAATGGAAATATTTTCCCAAATTGGGGAGGGGGTAAAGAGAGAAACTCAAGTCTTGGATAGTTTAAAACATTCCTGTGGCACCCAGTAGCATCCTGAAGTCTCTTTTGAGGGAAAGCAACACAATGCTGCCTGATACCACATGAACATGACCATTTTATTTCAGCTTCTATGCTACCAGAAGCAGCATAGTAATATTCATACACCACTGGGCCTGAATGAATTAATTTTGCCTCAGAGCAAGACTGTAGCCTGGTCTTATCACTACACTAAAGGTGGCTATGCTAGCCAGCACCAGAGGTGTGATACAGACTATTTCTGGTTTGGAGGTCTAAGGATCATCTGTGTTACAGATTTTGTATCCTTAAGGCTGGTTTTTCCACCTCAGATCTGTTACATACCACCTGACTCCAAGGGGATGAAGGGGTGCCCCTTGCTCCCAATTCACAACCTCCTGGTGCTTCCAAGTGCCCTGTACTCCCAGCCCACAGCCCCCTGCCAGCCCTGGTGCCTGTCACTGTCAAGCCACAGCCCCCGCACCCCTGCCAGTCTTCACTCCTGACCTGCAGCCACCTGCTCCCCCTCAGGTGCCACCATCCCAATTTGGCTGGAGTGCAGTGGCTGCATCTCGTGCAGGCAGGCAGAGTGAGTCTGGCCCCAGCACAGGATGAAGGGAGTAGAAGGGGAGGCCTGTGGCACCCCCCACCTCAGGCTGGGGCTCCTGCGCCACGCCACACCAAGTGGCCTGGCTACAGCCTGCCTATCACCACCCCCCCCTCCCTGGGCAGAGTCTTCCAGGTGCCCCACCCCTCTGAGAAAGGGTACCAGCTCCAGTGCTGCCAGGCCAGCCACACGACTCCCCACTGCCCCGAAAGCCCCTCCCCACCCCTGCACACACCCTCCTCTGCTCAAGGGGCAGATATTTCCCCCTGCATCCTGCCACAGCCCCAGTGCCTGGACCACCTTTCCCCAGTGCCACGAAATGCAGTTCTACCAGCAAAATCCCAGACATCTGTTCCTATTTCAAAAACTGCCAGATGGAGATTGGAGGACCCAAAAAAGAGGACATGTCCGGGAAAAGCCAGATGTATGGTAAACCTACGCTAGTCCCTTCTCCTGCAGGCCTCTACTCTCCTCTCAGATCTTCATAGGGGTTAGTCACTTTCCCTTTTTCTCAGTTGAGGCCTGTTTAAGGCTCAATTATCCCATTCATCACTGTCTTTTGCATCTTCACCAATAGCAGAGTGACCACTGCTTCCTGATTGCCTCTAGCCTCTCCTAGTCTTTCAAGAAGCTATCAAGATACAACTCTTTCAGTTTATAAAAGTATGAGAAAGAAAATACTTCCCCCTCTGGTATACATCATACTGTAAGAGAAGGAAACACATGTCCAACACCTCTACAACAATGCATAGCTTCAGATAGAGATACTTCAGAAATCAAATATTCCCCAATTACTAAATATTACAGATTATTAAACTCCTCTTTACCAGTATGCATTTACTAGGGAACTTGTGAAGTTCTCTACCTATTACCGTGGGATTCAAGGGAAGTCTCTTCTCCTGTGTTATAACAGCGAACAATTTCTGTGGC